ATCATGCCCAACAGCAAGTTAGCCAGGTTAGTTCTCTCTGCCTCCGCCAGTGTCGGGTCTGCCTGCGCTTCTGTAGGCACAAAGATCATGTCTTGGAGTACCGTCGTCCACTGATGCTCACAAGCAATCAAGGACTCCGTGCTGCTGGCATTCCGTCTGTCTCGTGTCGCTGCGTCAGTCTCAGTCGTTCGCTGAGCTTCGGCTGCCGCTTCATTGGCTAGCCGCTGACGTTCTGCCTCTGCTATCTCCTTCCGGGCCTCGACGGCAGCTACGGCGTCTGAAAATGCCAGTAGCCGCCCACGATAATCAGCCGCGGGCTCATTGGCTCCTCGGACTGGGTATGCGGGATGATCTCCGGTGGCGTCTTGTACCGTGAATGCCGTATTTGATGCTGCTGGAGTCGTCCGTCTGCTGAGTTTCTTCGGTCTTGGAGGTACGGCAGGGCGGGCACAAACTGCGATTCTGGCACTGCGTCGTGGCAGTGCCCCGGTGTCCTGTTCCGTCGACATCAGTCTGAACTGATGCGGTACTTGAGAAGTCCCGGTAATCGCAGAACACGGGGGGGGGTAGGGAGAGTGGGAACAGGGGTAGAACAATCAAGCACTATACATCCAATCCCCTGTCCCACTGATGGACTGTAGACACCTAATCAAACGGAAAAAAATAATTTTCCCGTAAACCTGTCGAAAAATTCGTAATAAGGAATTTATAACGATTTAATCAATAAAATCAATTAATGATAATTAACGAAAATAAATCCAAATGATAATCAGTGAACAATGTTTGAAAGATAACCAATTAATAACGAATTTGAAAGGTATTATGATTAGGTCTCTTTGAGATCAATATGAGACCGGGAGTTCACCGTTTAATAAGTGGACTGCCCGGTAGTTGCAATTTAAGGTCAGATACGGCTTAGTGAGCTAAAAAAATTTTCGGAAATTTTCAGAAGAAAAACGCTCGAATTTCTAAAAATGCGAATTTTCGAGACTTCCCACCGTCAAAATCCGCTTTTTAAAAGCCTAAACCTATTTTCGGAATTTCTCAAACAAGGAGAACGGAAAAAATAATTCACGAAAATTTCGGTCCCAACCCTAATTTCCGCGTTTCGGCGAAATTTCCGGATTTACGGTCCCAAAACGTTCGGGTTTCCCCCAAGTTGATCTAAAACCAAAAGATTTTCATAACCCTAATTCCCATACTAAAAGACAACGGAAATCTCAATAGAAAACGAAATGTAGGATTTACAACAAAATGCCGAAAAACGGAATGCTGAATAACATCAAACCCGAATTTACTGATTCAACCCTAATTACGAATACCTACCCAGAAATCCGAATCAAACAGAATGTTGGATTAGTATCAATCTCTCGGATCTCATTAAACGGCATACCGTATATAACAGAAATCCGAATTTTTAAAGTCCGAATACTGAATTGAAACGGAAATGCCGAAATAGCGAGAATACTGAAAGAAAAAATTGCAACTTTGAACTTGATAATACTTCAGCGCCGATTTAGAAGATCAAACATGATAACCTAATTCTAAATGGTCTTAACTGGTGAGCAGATCCGTTTCGGTCTGCTCCGATACCAAAACTGTTACATACTTCAATGAGTATGGGCAGAACCAAAGATCAACCAATATAGGATGAGTATTTATGCAGCGGAAGTCTGATAACGAACTGACTCACATAGACTGACTCACATAGACTGACCTACATGGCATCACTCCACACACATACAATCATGAGATGGTGGGGTCTGGGTCATGCATAGACGATACCCAGATCCCGTACACACATGCACAGATGAAAGGTGGGAGGAGAGACAAAGGAGGTAGGAGGTAGGTAGGTCTCCGAAATAGTAGTCCAGAATGTCATATAACAAGATCAAAATGTCGAGGACCAAAGRTYACCRAYGTCGGAGATAACCGAGTCCAGATGTAACCGGTGTCCAACTGTGATGCAGCCGAGTATCAACCTCAACAATCTCCAAGTCTCCAATCAGGTAAGTACCACAGTCTCGTATCACCGAA